TTCCGTTAATTCTGCCTGGAGTACTTTATAGTAATTTCACTTACATCCAGTTTCCCTAGTTTGGTTATGAGGCTGTCATGAGGGACTGTCAAGATCTCTCTCATCTGCTGCTTTCACCCTATCCATTAGGGTAATAACTCTATTAAAAAAGAAATAGAAGTTGGTTTGGTACCTGTCTGTGCTTTAGAAATTGTTTAATTTGTTCCAATATATTCCTAGGAATCAAAGTTAGGCTGACACAAGGCTTATAAATCCCCAGGTGCTCTGTTTCCCTTCTCAAAGATAGGTTCTATGTTTGCCCTTCTCCAGTCCTGTGGGACTTTACCTGTCCTCCAAGAGTTCTTGAAGATAATTGCTAATAGCTTCTGAAGTACTCAAGGGTGAATTTCATCAGGTCCTGCAACTTGAGTGCATCTAACTTGTGTTAAATATCTTTAACCTGTTCTTTCCCAACTTTGGCTTGTATTCCTTCCCCATAGTTGCTTTTGGTAATTTAATTACAAGCAACATTGTGATCCGATTTTTAATCACCCCAACCTCCTTGGTGTCATCCATTATCCTTTCTTTCCTGCTAATAACGGGCCTGCACTTCCCTTTGTCTTTCTGTTACTTCTAATGTATTTATAGAATCTTTTTATTGCCTTTTTTTTCTCTTCTAGATGCCCCCTCATTTTAGTGTGTCTGATTTTTGTCCCCATGTGATTGTACTGTTCTTAGAAATTTCACGTTTCCATTTTTTGGATAGGATTCTTAGACTTTTTTTTTTTTTTTCAGATTAGTTTAAAAAAACAACAACCATGCACTTGGCCTTTGCTACTCTTTCTGTCTTTTCTTTTGCATTGCGATAGATTGTTGGTGTTATGGTGGCTTTAATATTGTCTTACTGAGAAATTTCATGTCCTTCTGAAAATCCTTTTTCCCCTTAAATCTTCCTTAAATCTACCTTATCAACCAGTGTGCTTTGAATTTATAAGTCTGCTCTTATTCTACTGCTCTGACTACTTCCTTTATTTATTTCATGATTACTTTGACCAGAGTTGCCTTCCAACTTCAACTCTTCCAAATCCTTATCTGTAGTCTGGTTATAGATGGATTTGGCAATTGTAAACCAGTTGGTTCAGTAATGTCCCTAAACAATACTTAGTACTTACTACTCAACCCCTGATAATAAGAGATATTAAATTGATTGCGGGTTTTCCAATTACACTTATAAATATAGTTTCTTAAACATTGATCTTCTCGCTGGGTGGTCTATAGCCCTAGTTTTATAGCGTCGGGGTAGCCGAGTTAGTCTGTGCAGGATAAACTTAAAAAACAACAAATAGTCTGGTAGCGCTTTAAAGACTAACAAAATATGTAGATGTATCATGCGCTTTTGTGGGCACAGCCCACTTCTTCAGATGACCAGAAGGGAGGAGGAAGAAAGAAAAAAAAGTGGGGGGGGGGGGGAGGAGGAAAAGAAGAGGCAGTGGGTATAAAAATATGAAGGGGAAAGCTGAGCTGGAATATAACAGGAAAAACAAATAGTCTATATGCACCTAAAGACTAGATAGTCAAAAGAGGCTGATAAGAACCATTAGTGGGCTATCGAGAGGAAGAGTACTAATACCAGATACTATACAGACAAAGAACCATTGGCACCTTCATTGTTTGGTAGGTTGATAATGTCCCAGCCATCTGGTATCTTTATTTAAGCTATTAGCATGAGTATCAGACTTGTGAATAAATTGTAGTTCCAGTCCTTCCCTGTGTACAGTAAACTTCTGATAATCTGGCATCTTTAGGACCCAGGGGGTGCCGGATTATCAGATATGCTGGAGTACCGGAAGGGGGGCTATGAGAGGTCTGGGGTGGGGGGGTCAGCAGGGAACTGCGCACCGTGGGAGATGGCAGCGCTGCGGGACCAACCTGGCAGCACCCCAGCTGCTCTGCCCCCGGCTTCCCCAAGTCAGCTGCTGGTCAGTTTCAGCAGTGCTGCTCAGGTGAGGGGCGGTGCTAAGGGACCAACCCAGCAGCACCCTAGCTGCTCTACCTCCAGCTTCCCCAAGTCCGCTGCTGATGAAACTGACCAGTGGCTGACTTGGGGAAGCCGGGGGCAGAGCAGCTCCAATTGTCTGGCTGGCCGGAGCACTTCCAGAGTCTCAAATCTAGACATTCAAAAAATAAGGACCACACAATTATTTATTATATCTGAAATATTTAGTTTGTGACTTGCTTAGCATTACCTAAGTACTCTGGCAGAGGTAGGGCTGTCCTTAGACATACACAGCAGCACAGAGCACCACTAAATTTGGGGCACCACGCTGGTGCCTCTAATTTAGTGGTGCCCTATGCTGCATGTGCCTTAGGGATGGGATTGCAGGGAATACCAGCTCTGGTAGCCCCATCCCTGGGCTGCCTCTCCAAACCCTGTTCACTTGGTGGCGGCGAACAGCATTCATGGCTCGATTCTAGAGGAGCAGGAGATGGCCATACAGCCGGTGGCTAGAGAGAAGTGGCAATTTCTCCTTCAAAGTGCTGCTTGTCTCCAGCTGACAGCAAAGCCACCCTCTCTGTTCCTCCAGCCTGCATTTGCAGTCCTACTCCAGGGTTGCTAACTCCACTGGACTGGACTGGACAGAACTGCAGCAAATGGCATCCAATCTAGGGATGTTAAATATTGATTTAACTAATCGAATAGTCGATGGGATTTCTATCAACTATTCGATTAGTCGATAAGGATTAGCACATGTTCTGCTTTTGAAATGTACAAGAGCTCCCTCAGGGGGCTCTTGTACATTTCAAAGAGGAATGCTGCTGTTGCACCCCTGCCCTGTCCCATGGAGCTGGAGCTGGGGGGAACCAGCTTTTAAGCTGGCTTCCCCTAGCAACTATTCCTCTTTGTGATAGAGGCAGTGGGAGGGGAGGCGGGGCGAGAGGAGGGAGTGACTAATCGACAAATGCATTGATTATCCGATAAGCTTTGACTTATTGGATAGTCGACTTGTCAATTACATCCCTAGTCCAATCTGTCTGGTCAAGGGGAGTTGGCAACCCCATACACAGCAGCTGCTTCCCCATGCAGGAGTGAGGGGTGTCAGTGCTGGGCTGTGTAGAGCACCAGTACTAGTAGGGATGGCCCTGAGCAGAGGCAGGGATAGAATCCGCAGCAGCTTTCAGTTATCTCAGCCGTGAGTCCCGTTCAGCCCCTCTTTACTGAGGCAGGGGACTGCAGGAAGAAACTACAACTCTTCCAACTTCCCCAGCAAAAGAGGGGTCTTGTAGACTAAAATCTTAATATATCAATAGAGCACATCCATTCTATGCACTGAATGAGGCAAGGATCCTCTGCAAAACAGTGTGTGCTCATGTAATTAGAGGATTTCATTAAGGAGATAAACGTCCAAGGGGGACTATTATGCGTATGCAATCTTAAATCCGACAACGGCAAACTTTTGACTCTTCATCATTTAATGTTTTTAATGTGGGCTCTATGTATTTCCTAGATTTCCTTTTTAATGCATACTGACATGGATAATCATTAGGATTGCAACCTTTAGATCCACCTAAAACCTCCCTGCTCATTTTAGCTAATAGAGTAATGGATATGTTAATTATGAAGCCAAAGTTCTTACCAGAAGACTTGACAAGGAGTTTTACAGGCCTCCTTCTAAGGTTCCCTCTTTAAATCCGTATCTCAGAGCTGACCTGCTAAGGTAAAAGATGCCACACCGGATGCTGAATCAAAATATCTTTATTTACTACAGGTTGAACTTTACTCTTTGGTCCGTGACTGTCTGGTCCGGCAACATCTGTGTTCTGCTCCAACTAGTGAGGAGCTGCCTTAGGCCGACTACTACCCTTTCCAATGAGAGACAAAGTTTGCCTCGGGGAGGTGGCTACCATAAGCTCACTTATTTTGAGAAGCAATCTGGAGAGCTCCTTAGTGTGAGTGAAAATCCCCTTAATATTGCCAGTCTAGCAACTCCTGCCTTCTCTTTCCTGCCCTTTCTGACCTTCCTGCCTTCTTCTCCTCTTGGAGGAATAAGAACTCTTCCCAACACAGCGGACTCTTGCAGTTATAACCAAATAGGTGATCACATCTAACAAACCTAATTGGACCCCCTTTTTCAATAGGCATTCCTCAATTTAAACAAAAGTATTGAGCTATTGCAGATAGTAGTAGTGTGGCTGTATTGTGTGGGAAGGAGGTGAGTGGAATCAAACACATTTTGCCAATTGGCTTCACAAATATTTGCTGATCAGAGAAATGGTGAGACTTGAACTTTGGGCTCCATTCTTGGCTTAGAAGGGGCATAGAATGTACTGCCACCTTCTCTCTTCCAGCTTGATGCCTTCTACCCCATCAATTCCAAGCTATCTCTGTCCTGTCTCTTCTCTACTCCTGGCAGCTTACCCCGCTCTCATTCTCTTTGCCTGTCCCATCTCCATTCCTTAGACTACTTTCATCTTAGTCTTTTCCTGTAGGCTACATATTGCATTTCAGTAGCTGGAAGATAAGGGTAGACAAATTCAAACGGGAGATATGGTGCATGTTTTTAATAGTGACACCATCTCCTCAGGCAAATTATTCCAGTTAAGTCCTTAAAACCAACATTGGACTATATCCTCAAATAGACATTAAGAGATTGATCCATGGATCAATCAAAGATTTCATTTAAAAACTTAGACATTTTGTTGTCTTATGGTTATGAGAGACCAGGGATGTTAGTGTATAGACATTTAAACAATTAACCGATAAACCCAGGTTTATCGATTAATCCAAATGACTACATGCAATTCCTCACCCTTGCTGCCTCTAGCATTTTGTTCAGAATGCTTTCATGAGGGTTGTCAAAGCTGTTCTTGGGCATTTGAAAAAATGCAAATAATAAAATGTATATTCAGTCATTATCCTGTGTTTTCTTTAAATATTTTCCCCATAGCTGTAGCCCTTACGGCTTATTAACTGTAATTGGGTAAACTATCACTGCAAAAATAAAATGTACTTAATTCTACAGAAATAACCAGTATGCAAGTCCAGTGGGATTGGCTGTGGCTGGGTGTCTTGTTAGTTGGCTCAGTAACTGCAGAAATTCATGATGAAGAAATCCAAGATGCAGATGTTGAGGTGGAAGATTTTGACAAGAACTCTCAAGAAACTGACATTGACAAAGGCAGCTCTTCTTTAGAGGTAAGGTTATTGTTTGACACCAGCCAAAACTTGAGTTTTATATAATGGGTAATTGACAGCAAATATGAATGAAAATATATATATATATATATATATATA